GAAGAAACATAGAGCCAATTACATGCCTCATAATTATACAGTAACATTTACAGTATGGCTCTTCTTGGTTTAAGAATATAGGCAACAAACATATTACAATAAAATGCTCAGGTGAATAAAGTTAGAAACACCCATGAACTAACAATTTTAAGGAGCTCTGGTGGCTCAGCAGTAAGGCGTTGCACTGCCAACCTAAAGGCACACAGTGTGAATCCACGAACTGCTTCACATCACGGGAGAAAGATGAGGAGATCTGTTGTGTACCTCTGTGTCCACCCTGTCTTTAATTATATAGTGCCAATTATCCCTTTATTGTGTGCTGCTTTTCTCTTTACTCAACATATGTCTATTATCTAGTTACTGATAATATTGTCTTATACAGTGAGTACACCATTTCACATCCTACCAAAAGTATATGAGGGTTCCATTTTTCCACCCCATTGCCAGCATTTACTGTTTTCTTAGAAAATTTTCCTTCTGTTACTGAAACGTTATCTCATCACTGTTTTGATTTGCAACTTTAACAGCCAGGTGCTGACTGTGAAACAAACCATCACTTACTCATGAGCAAGTTCTAACTGAAGCTGCAAAAGGCAAAACTAGTCAAATGACTATCTTAAGCTACTTCCTACAGCATTTTGTTAAACCATGATGAATACATGTATTTATCTTTTGTAATCACTTTTAGGACTTAACTTCTTTCAGGTTTTATCACTAGATGAAGCTGATGAAGCAGAGCTAGTTAAGCTCCAAAGTTACTTACAGTACTGAGATTAAAAATAACTTTTCATTCACGCAGTCATTTATATACTCATTAATTCACTCAATAAATTATACAGTAATGTTTAATGAACACAAAATATATGGGAAGCTTCTGTAATACTGTCTGTAATCTATGGGAAACAGGGTGTATACCTCAAATACCAGTTTTGAAACTCAACTGTTTCTCAGTACATGTTTGGTTTTGTCTGTCTCGTTTTTTAACCTAAGACTAAAATAGCTCTAGAGAGTGGTAGTGGACTGGTATGCAGGGAGTTGTGCTGCTAACCCAAAGGCCGAGCCTCGCTCGTAGTTCAATTCACCAGTAGCACCAAGAGAGAAAGATAAGCAATCGCAATCATCTCCTATGAGACTGAAAGCCTTGAAAACCCACTGAAGGGTCAGTGTCAACTCAATGGTAAGGACTCTTGAAAACAGCCCTAGAATTTTTAGTTGAGCCCTACATGACAAGGAGAATAAAATAAAAATATTTTATTAAAACTGAAATAAATAAAACAGAACAAATTCTATAACTCAGGCTAAACAACTAGACTTACTTTGGATCTGGTGGTCCATCTGACAGTGGTTTCATTGACAGTTTACATAATGACCTGAATACTAGAAAGGCATCCTTTTGTAAAATGTGGGAAAACTTAGCACCAGGTGAAGGTCCTGAAGAATTTCCAGATTCCTAAATAAGTTAATATACAATGAAAATAAAGACATTTGTAATTATAAATAATTTTACTCTTCTAAAGTACTGTATCTCTTTTGTAAAATAATTGGGCTTACCTCACCTAGCAGAAGTGAACCAGATGAAGAATTTGTCATACTATATTTCTTTAGTCTGATACAGCAACCCAACCCTTGCCAATAAACTAATACATAGGAAAAAAAATTGTATTATTCTTTAGTGGTTCTTCTTTGCCACCAAATAAACTTTTAACAATTCTTAAAAATTCTCGGGCTTACCACTGAAAAAACAATGGCTTACCATGATTTGACAAAACACGACATTCAAAGGCTTAAACTATGCTTTCATTTATTCACTACATATTTTTTACATATAATTGAATTTTTCTATTTTCTTGAGCAAACTTAAGACAATGCAGATTGTCCGGGTCATGTTTAAAAGCTAGTATCTGCTTTAGGTCAACAAGGCCAGGAAAACCTGCCCCCTGTTCTGGAGTATTACTCTAAGTTAGGGCTGTTGTTATGTGTGGTCTAGTCAGAACTAACCCATACATAGCTGACTCTCTAGTGGGTTCTCAGAGGTAGTAAATCACACAGGAAGAGACTACTCATCCTTTTCCTGCAGAGGAGCTGGTGGCTTCGAACCGTGTGCCTTTGGGATTGCAATGTAGGTTCTTACCACTAGGCCACCAGTGCTAGCTTAAGGTAAAACTCTTTTATCTAAAAAGATAGGATAAAAACTTGCATAATGTATAGCAGGAATGATGAAAGGGCTTGCTAGTGATCTAATTACAGCTTTTAGTAAAAGTAAGTTAAAGTTCCCTAAATTTCTGAGAATTCCTTCCTTCTCCACAATACTAAAAATATTCTGTAAGTAACTGATGAGAATGTTTCTTTTCCAATGTCATTTCCATTGTGCAGAGGTGATGGCAATACTGGAACCCATATCACACACTATAAAGTCAGAAATTCAGCTCTCAACCCTGAAAAGGAATTAACAGCTGAGATTTGTATTAATGAGTAAATAAAGGTGTGGGTTTGTTTTGTTTGTTTTTTATTTCCCTGAACAGAAATTTGTCAGCATCATCAACTGAAGATAATCTCTATAAACTGTGGACAGTTGAGATATCTTTAAGATTAGTAAAAATATAGCCCTCACTACTTACCTGAGTATCATTGGACGAGACAGATAATCTGTCATCAGGTAAAGATGGTGTGTATGCAACAGAAATGGGTGTTCCAGGTATTCCATTTGCTTGAATATTTTCACTATCACTACCATCCTCTAAAGTTCCAACACTGCCATCTGCATTTACATTTACCGTAGTCACATCTCCCATATCTAAAATAAGGAAAAAATACAAAAAATACACCTGAATTCGCTAAAGTATATTTAAAATGAAACAGTGATAGAAGAGCAGCATGAATCTATTTATTCATTTCACTAAATCATTCTTCTAAGAGAAATATATATATAAGTCAAGTACTGCATTTCTGTGCAAGAACCATGAATTAAATAAATGTCAATAGATTAGCTTCAAATCGAATCTCGTGTATAGTACTATTTATGAAAAATGTAAATGAAATTTCTAACAAATTTTCAAACTGGTTTTCATTCAGTCGTAGACAGTTCATTTTAGAACAATAATTACAGCTATATAATGACATTATTTGCACTGTCCTTTTGAAACCTCACTGCCTGTCCTTTCCCTTTCCCTTCATTTTACCATCCATTCACTAGCTCCCTCTCACGACCCTCCTGGTCCCTGACTATCAATGTTCCACAATTGTTTCTATCTGTGGGTAAATCTTCCCTCACAAATTTTAAAACATATTTTTAGTAATATAGGTCATAAAATAAGAACTAACTTTATAGTAACTATAACTTGGTCTATGTTAATAAATGTGTAAAAAATTACTTCCCAACATATAATGATGAAATATTCAAAACCAAATGTCAATTTAATATCTAATCTAAAGATGAAAAATATAGGCTTGCCCTCTCCTAATGAGAACAAAAACACAATGAAATGGCATCAACTCTTTTCTTGAGTCGATTATAGTATGAGTGGGGGATAGTAAATTTAAGGTATGATTTTAACTGAAGAATGAGGAATATTACTTTTTAAAAATCAAAGTTATTTAATGGTTTTTCTTAAAAAAATTAATAATTCCTTATAAATTACCAAGAAAATAAAATGAGAGTTTTAAATTTTTCCATTTTTGTTCGATATATTATAAAGATATCATCCATGTATTAAGCTCAACAAGAGAGAATAAACTACTTTAAAGTGAAGCATCCTACCTCCAACGACTATGTTCACCATTTCTTCTACAATGCTCTGAACAATGTCTTGTGGTTTTTCCTCCAGGTCATTATTTTCTCCATCATATAAGATATCATTTTTAGACAACGCTTCAAAAGAGAATAAGAGAGCATTATTTTAATTTTTTATAAGCTTTTACTAAATATTTATGATAAAAAACATTTCTAAAAATAATTACAATAAAATGAAATTATATTGCTAAAATGAGAATTACATTTTAGGGGGGAAATATTTTAAAATAATAATCCCAACACATTAAGCATAAAAATTGTCAAAAAGCACATATTCTACAAGTTATTAAATTATTGTTGTTGTTGCTATGTGCCGTTGAGTGGCCTTCAACTCATAGCAACCATATGCACAACAGCCCTAAACCCTGGTTTATCCTATGCCAATCTTATTACCCAACTAAATATTCTAGATTTTATTTTCTAATCAAAACCTTTAAAAAGAATTGAACAAAACATTTCCAACATGTCTCTACCTCTCTCCCTATCAAGTAATATATACTCATTGCTGTCAAGTTGGAACCAACTCGTAACTGACCCTCCAGCAGGTTTCAGAGGCTGTAAATCATACTTGAGCAGACAGCTCATTTTTCTCCTAGGAACCTCCAATGGATTCAAATTGTCACAGAGGTTCAGCCTTTAAGTAAGCAGCAAAACTTGCTACAGACTACACCACCAGAGCTACCTTTCTTTCATCAAACATTACAATCAACACTACTCTAATGAAGTCCTGAAAAAAAACAGGTCCACTGGGCTTCTACCATGGCTTTTCAATCTCTTCTTGCATTTTCCTCAACAAAATCTAAGTGGCTGAATGAAAAGAAGACTGAAAAATAATTTATTCTCCCAATTTAGCATTAGTTGGAAATCGATTTGTCAATCACAACTGCTCAGGAATTTACAAGAAATTGGTATTACTACGCAAAATTCCAAATTTCCAGTAAAAGCCCATTAAAATCTGACATTCTACTTGGCTTACCAATTGCACAAACCTAAAGAAACCTGAATTAACACTTTAGGACCTATTGGGCTCAGGGAAGCCACATTGAGAGCTACATTAATGGCATCAGACTGCTTATTAGCTGTTCTTTCTACCTTCCTTTTCTGCTTGTCTTGCCCCCTGCCACACTATAAAGAATACTAATTCTGCCTTGCAGAAGTTTGCCCTCTGTTTTACATTGCTCATAACCTACTGTGTTAGAGAAAGATGGGCAGTCTCTTCTCCTGTGATTTACAGTCTCTGAAAAGCCACAAGAGGCTCAGCTAGGAGTACGTTCCATCTTGATCCATCCATCCTTCCTTCCTTCCTTCCTTCCTTCCTTCCTTCCTTCCTTCCTTCCTTCCTTCCTTCCTTCCTTCCTT